TTCCTTCCTTCCTTCCTTCCTTCCTTCCTTCCTTCCTTCCTTTCTTTCTTTCTTTCTTTCTTTCTTTCTTTCTTTCTTTCTTTCTTTCTCCTTATGCTGGAGATAGAACCTAGCTAGAGTAAGTGTTTTAACACCCCTGAGCTGTACTCGTAAACGCTGAAAACCTCTCACAGGCACACATGTACATACTGTAAGTTCATGTTGGGAGAGTAGTTGAAATCAGCCATGTGATTTCAATGTCTATAGTCTGGTTAATTTTGCTTTTTTCCAGTGTTCAATACAACTTCATTATTGAAAGTGGAAGACAGAAGCACTTGACCCTAACTCTTAGCCTGTAGTAACGTACACTTCCTTCTCTCATTGTATTCAGAGGTGTTCTCAAATCTTTTGAACTCACTTTTTCCCTCTTTTGATCATGCTATGGAACTATGCATCATTTTCACCTGCAGTTTTATGTTTAGGCACTTACAGTTCTAGATGTAGCCCACTTAAAAAACTAACTAAAAGGGGGTTTAATTTTTTTCTATTATGTGTCTGCATGTTTTGTGGTATATAGGTATGTGAAGCACCTGTGTATCTGGTGCCCAAAGGGGCTCAGAAGAGGGCATTGGTTTCTCTGGGACTGCAGGTAGGGGTGGTTGTGAGCCACCATGTGTGTGCTGTGTGCGTTGGAAACACAACCTAAGTCCTTTGAAAGAACAACAAGCTATTTTAACTCGTGAGGCCTGAAAAATATTTTAGGAATAAATGTCATGAAAGCTAATTTAAAAAAATTAAGCAATATCATATTGAAACAGATTGTATTAAATAAAAGTAGATTTAAATATGGTTTTGTTGGAAGTTTTATCGTTTGCTTGAGGACATATTGAAGAATGAGAAAAGATGTTTAGACAAATTACTTACTAATTATATATTCAGATGCAGCCTACCTAACTGTGTGGTTAGAATTACTCTAGAGTTTTCTATTTACCAAGCCTCAAAATACTCTTGCCAGTATCTGTGAAGCCTTCTCTGACATGATTATAAGCCTGGAGGCTTCTGTGTTGTCACCCATCCTACTGCAGGAAAGGAAGCGAGATTGTTTCACAGCCATTACAGTCAGCTTAGGAAGGCTTTCTTATCACCTTCTTCTCTTCTAAGAATGGAAGCAATCTCTTCCTAATTATCCATTCTCTTTGAGGAAAAAGAGTGATTTTAAGGTGATTGCATGATCATCTGCAATCCCTTATCCTATCCAGAGAGAATAAGAAGAACCTGTTGCTGGAACTATAGGGAATAGCTTCAGATCTCATTCAAAAGGAAATTTTTCTGTAATTGGGAAGCAGATTTCCTTAAATTCCCTCTTCATGCATTAAGAATAGTTTTGTGAAAAAAACAAAACAAAACAAAAAAAAACAAAACAAAAAAGAATAGTTTTGTGATATTTTATAGCCAATTAAAATTGATCAGATGTTTTAATTATTTCTTTAAAATACTTTAAACATGAAAACCAGTTTGGAATGAATCCAGCCTTGAGACATATGGTTCAGTGTATGTTTAAATAAATCTAAACTTTAAGAAAATGAGCAAAACTTAGGAAAGTCTTTTACTTGATTTCATCAAAGAATTCACAAAATGGACAGCCATCATTCTGATACAATATTTATATATTAGAGTCATATATGAGTGGGGAATGAAAGTCTTCTAGAAAACATTCTGGAATTCAAATTTATAACATCTTGACTCACCTCATGTCTGAAATTCATTTTGGATATGGTAGTTGCTAAAAGCCACATTATAGTTCAAACTATGGTTGCTGTGGTTTCCATCTAGAATGTCCTCTAGAATCTTCAAGTTTGGTTACTAGCCAGTGGGCATTGGGAAGTTGGGTTATTGGACCATGAGGACTGTAACCTCATCAATGCACCAATTCATTGATGGATTCTTAATTCAGTGCTTATTGAGAGGTGATAGGCACTCAGGAAGTGGGACCTAGTTCAAGCTGGTACATGGGAATTTGTGCACAGGGACTTGTACCCAGTTCTCTGCCTCACTTCTGCTTCTGTCAGGAGGTGATCACCTTTACTCTAGCATAGTCCCTCTCTGTTATGTCCTGTTCCTCCAAGGCCCAGAAACAGTGGAACAAACTAAACGAAGAGCCAAGCTTTCCTCTAGGAAGTTGTTTTCCTAAAGCATTTCATCACAGAGGAAAGCAGACCAATAGTTCCTGACCCCTGGCTTTGTTAAATGCCCAAAAGTGAACGCCTCTTAAATCTACTCATTAGTGGGTGATACATGAGTGCTAGCCCGTGGCCTGGATGCATTCCACTGCATTTAAGAAAACAGGAAAAAAAAAAAAAAAAAAGAAAACAGGAACCTCACAAGGCTATTGTGAATAATGGCTCTCTTAGTTGTTTACCTAATTTGCATTGTGCTAAAGCTTTGTAGAAACGCAATGACTATTAAGATATTCTCTTTAAAGACTGAAATATCGTGTGCAATAGAAATATATTTTTTAATGTTACGTATATAAAGTGAAAGTATAATAATTTGTTCCCATTTTTTTTTTATTTTGTATGAGCAAGTCTGAGTGGCACACAGAAAAATATTAAGAGAAGTTACTTCCTTTGGCTCATTTTCCTCTACATTTTGTGTGAAGCTCTTTAGAAATGTAATTTTTAGACTTGAGTTACTTACTAGATAGAGAAAATCAGAAATGAATATTAACAGTATGCTCTGAACAGCAGATGGCAAAATTCTAATCTTTCTTTAATTATAAAGTTTAAAAAAAATCTATGTAGGTTTACATGTAGTTTTTAAAAACATTAAATTCATACATTAAGAACAACTTTTGGGGACTAGGGATATGC